AATAGAAAATATTTTGCTGATAAATACTTTCCTCAGTTGCAATAACTCATTGTCAAAGAACTCTGCCATTACCAAACTTCGGAAAAGGAAGCAAAAGTTTGGCACAAGGCATTCTGTAAACGTGTCTTTGCTGATTCAGTGAAAACTCCTGAGCTTGGAATCCACCCAGATGTATCTGAATTAAAGGTTTTGGGGTAGAGGGTGAAAAATACAATGGGTACATGAGGAGTCCTGTATTTAAAAGCTTTTATGCTATGTTTATCTCAAACAGTGCAGTCCACCGGGTCTACAGAGCAAAACTGTGCCTAAAGCTTGGGATATTATCCCTCTGAATGTCTCTATACCTACTTAACGGACTAAACACCCATTAGAGATCAAAGCACATCTTCTGGTTTCATCTCTACTGAAAGGAATCCAGTCCATGTGTTCTACAGTTCTCCTGCGATGAGAATCAGAACATGGTAAAAGGAAAATTCACTTTGAAGGCACAATCCTTATCCTAATTGAAACACTAATGGAGAAGCTCTCCAAGTATGCTTTAATCAAGAGCATCAAGGAGTGGAGGAGGTCATTCTCCATGCTTGTTCCTCCTAGTTATCTGTAGCAGTCCATCACCAGACATCATTAATAAAATCAAGGAGAATATCTTTCTGGTACTTTTCTTTATCCTTCATGTCCTGCCAAAGACTATCAAGAAAATTCAGTGATTTAAGCCACATTACAGAGTTGATAGGACTCTTCTATTTCACAGAAAAAAAAAAAAATCAATCGGTTTTGAATTAATAAAACTTACATCTATTCAAATAACTACAATATTTTCTTCAGAATTTACAACTGAATTTCTGCAAAACTGTGGTTTCCAAATGCAGGCTTTGCTTTCCATTCGAACAGAAAATGACAGTGCTACAATACGATGTGTACTTTCTCTCATATCAGGGCTTTTAGCAGCAGCAGCAATGGGTGAAGAGAAGCATATCAAACAGTAAGACAGACAGCAGATAATTGGTTCTAATACTAAGAAAATACATGGTAGACAACTGAACCAAAGGTAATGGGCTGAAGATCATCTAGTCCTTGCTCCACACCAAGAGGGAGTAAAAAAAGCACACTTAGAACAGTTACACAAACTGGACCATTGAGTACATAGTGTGAATGCTGTGGATTCACAATATAACTGCTGATCTCCATGTACCCCAATTACCACTTATGGAGGATAACCCTTCTCTCTCCCATCCTCCCCATCACTCCAGAGACATTCTCAAGCAACCAAGCAGAAGGGAAAGAGGAAGAGGCAATAATGGAAGAAGCAATTAATTTGAAACACAGGTTAAAGTTGATGGCCTTTAACACTTTTTGAAACCAGCCACATTTGTGCAAAGTCTACACTGTCGCAAGTGATCATTTAACATAAGGGGAAAAGTAGGAGCTGTGTCCTTCTCTCCAGGTTCATTATTGGACAAATGAAGATTCCCATCTTCAATAATGAGTGTGAATCTTAAGGACAGTGAAGTGCCACTGCTCACAACAAATGACAAGAAACCCTGGAAGTTACTTCTGGATGCATTTAATTTCTTTTGCAACGTTCTAAGAATTAGGGTATTACAAAGTGTGAGGTATGCATAGTAATAGGACTAACAGGACTCCAGTTGGATCAGGTAAAAACGGGTTACAAAATATTAGGAAAAGCGATAACAAAAAAATACAAATTATCTTATCCAGTCACATATAAGCTGCAAATCCAAATACTGAAACACTTCAAAATCAGTCCCAGAAAAAGTCCACAGCTGCTGTTTCAAAAGAAGGACATTCCAGTTTTAGGAGACTAAAAGTGGAGGAACCTCCCATGCCAACCCTCTACTTGATCTTTGTTGCCAGAAAGGTAAATTGCATCCTTGATGCATGCACAGAGGTGACCTGGGTAATGTTGCTCTCTTAGGATTTGTCGCTGGGAGGTTTCTTCTTAGCTTCCACATCCTTCTTAAAATCTTCAAGCTTCTTTGCAATGTTAGGAATCTTTAAAGACAAAAGAAAACAAACAAAACCCACACAAATTAACAAAAAATCCTGAGCTACATGAGCCTCAGCAGGAAAGACACTATCTCAAACACAGCAAGACACTCTAAAAAAGTTTAAACTGGTTTCTAAAAGACACTTGCTTTCAGGAACAGAGGTTAAAAACAAGGCAACATCAGGCAACCAGCTTAAGAAAGCACCTCACATGAGGCTTCAGGAAATATTTCAGAATGTTAAGACTAAAAGTCTGCCAGTGGTGATGGGAACAGGACGGAGGAAAAAAAGATCACTTCACAGGAAATTTAGTAAGACCAGTCTGGCCTCCTCACTGAAAGAAGACAAATTGCCAAGAATAAGCTTATTTAAGCACTGATGCACAGACTTTAATAATGACTTTCAGAAGGAAAACTAGATTGCACTATACTGGTCACGAACCATAAGAAAAGAGATATTCAAGAGCAGCAAACACATCCTCAAGAAAATTAGGAAGAAACACTTCTCCTGGTCCATTTTGTGGGAACAAACATTCCCCACTAGGGAATTCTACTGCATTTCAAATTGGGAACCTTTTGCAGTTTCACACTTGAATGAAAATTTAACACTTGTGAACTTCAAAACTTCAGCCTTCTCTTGCAAGTAAAAGCATTTTGATAAAGAATTCTAACAATAAATATTGACAAATTAAAAAACAAAAGCAGTAATTTTTAAGGTCAGGGAATAGATTATCTCATGACTCTAGCTAAAACTGGGAATCTACAATGTAGGATTTTACAAGCTAAATGATTAAAATGAAAGTAAAGCAAAGTTCCCACTTGTAGTTGTGAAAAAAACTCATGGGCTTTTACTTTATATATAACTTGACCACAGAGTGGAAGGAAAGTTAATCAAAACAGACTACAGTTCTTCCATTGGATGGTTTGAGTTTGATAGTACAGGTAGTATCATAAGTTTCTCTCCTACCTTTTCTTTCAAAGTTAAGCTCTGTTTGAGCAAACAGAATTAAAAGCCCACCCTATAATATGTACGACATTTAAGCAAAACCAAGAGAACTTCACTGTTGTCAGCAGAAGCCTTCATGTGCTTATAACGAAGCACAAGTGCATACAGCCGCAGAATCAGGACCTCATTATGACAAGTTTATCTTAGATGTCATCTAAAACAAATCATCTTCAATACCAGCAATAAAGTTACCATGTTCATCCTGCAAGTCAGTGTTACATTCCCAGAGAATAATTTCCTGTAAATCAAAAGCATAAGTCCCCCTCTTGTGGCAATACTTTATTAGTGCTGCCAGGAAAGCACTATAGCACACTTAGGATACACACTGATACACTCAAATACATTGTTATGAAAATGTAGCCAAAAGAACATAAAAAAATATATTGGAAAGATACATCAGCTTTTCATTGGTACTTTTAGTGGAGTGACGGGACAGGAAGCATCACACGAAGAAGGAGCAAAAACATGAGAATTCTGCAAGCAAGATGACTTCAATGCTGACGTTGAAAGCAAAGCAAAACGTAGATGGCACCCGAGATTTGAGCCTTGACAGTTGTGTTGTTTTGTTGGGTTTTTTGGGTATTTTGTTGTTGTTGTTGTTGGTTTTGGTTTTTAAAGTAGGGTAATATAGATTGTATAAGGAAGAAAAAAAGAAAGTTAAATTTCATTAAGTCCTCTAGCCTGTAACTGCTGTCACTGCTCTTACAAGGGATTCTGCTTATATTGAAGACTTTTCTTCTACTCTAACTCTCACAGTGAAAAAAACTCCATTTACTGTGAGAAATGAGAAAAGAAAGTTCACTTCCTTTTCTCACTGTGAGAAAAGGAAATAAAGACTGCAGGGCAGTATATTGTTTGAAGTAGGAGCAGGTGCTGGATTTTCAAAAAAAGCTGGCAAAACTTATTTTCATTATTAGCACAGAAGACAGAAATTTCAGAAGCTCTGAAGGATTTTTAAGTAACAAACAGACGTACTGAGTGAAGAACACTATGAGCAGACAGGCTATCAGAGTCAAGAAACCAGTATCTTAATGCAGTACAATCCATGAGCAGCTACTAAACCTTTTCTGTTTCTCCTGTACCTATGTAGATGCCCATTTACCCACACCAGTTAAGGCTCTAGGGGCCCCACATCAGTTAAGGCTCTAAGCATTACTCTATCACAAAGAAGAGGTCAGAGGTAGATGTTTTAGTTCCATTTACATTTGCGTTCATTTGTAACTAAAATCAGTATGATCGACGTTCTGTTTAAATAAAATAAACCATCAACATAAAACCAGATTCAGTTCCAATTGAGAGAAAACAGCCTTACATTTTCAGTTCAGAATAGGTTTAACTCTGAGAATACATAGATACTCACATCATAGTTCTGAGCCAGATACATCCCAACCACATTGCCAAGAGTAAAACCAAGCTAAAAAGGAAGAAAGGGAGAAAAAAGTAGTGAACATACTTGCATAAAAAGCATATTGGTTAAAATAAAAAATTAATATTGCAAGTTCAGTGAAGACTCAAGAGTTTCAATCCCATTCCTTCTTGCCTTTCTTCCAGAGAGGTGCAATTTTACCCATTTTCCTCACCAGGAAAACCTTACCATCATTTCCAAAATACAACACCGTTGTGTTTTCAATATACATCTCCAAGACTATTTGGATCAGGCTATGATCACCTTTGTAAAATTCTATGCACACCCACAAAGGCAGTGACTCTGGTTAAAAACGAGAGAGATTGCAGCAGGGACCTAAATATCACAGAGCTCTTGGTCCATTCCGGGAAAGTCTAAAGCAACACCTCACTAAAACAATGTTCATTGCTGGAGAAGGACACACTTATGCAAAGACATAACACAGTAATATATACAGTAAAAAAAGGTTCACAAGTTCGATAGAACAGAGACCCTGGCTGCAAAAAGATCTCAATCTCATCTTAAAAAGTTTAAGAGTAGAGCTCTTCTATCAACTTAAACTGATGTAAGTCTGCTACTTCTCTTTCACAGAACTAACAACTGTGCAACTTCCAGACCCCTTGAATCCCAAGAGATAAGATTTCAGCCAAATTTCTGATCTAGGGGCTCTTCTAAGGCAGGAAAGCACGGTTGGTTGGAAGCAGGGCAGAACCTCTTCTGACAGCTGTGCAAACTTGTAGTTGCTGAAGGGCGTCTGTGAAAATGCACCCTAGAAGGGGAGCAAAACAGAAGCAGAGCTGCTGGTCTGGACTCAGTTTGCCAGCTGAGGAAAATCCTCAAGTATAGCAACACTGTTGGAGTAAAAGAAATTCCTCTCTTCAAAGACAGGTGATGAGATTTTCATTCAGTAACTACCCAGGATCCTGGGTTTTATTTTTATTGTTACATTTCATAATAAGTACGTCCTATATTATCAAAGCTCACTTGACTATTTTGGAAGGGGACACTACTAATACTGTGCCTTCATTCACTGTCAGTAGACAAATCACTTTGTATGACAGCTGAGGCCAGGTCTATTTAACAAAATTGTTATTGCTTATGGTCACTACTGTCAAAATAAGACTATTTCAAGAAAAATAAAGCCACTTTCCACAATAACAACTGTGCCACCATATACTGACTAGACATCTTTTCCATGTCCAAAGCAGGGTACACTACAGCTCATCTTTTCAGTGATTCAGACTCCACAAGAATCACTGATGAAAACTAGTTACAGAAGACTAAAATTAGTTGAAAACTGCCAAATGAACTACAACTGCAAGTTACTTCAGTATTTTCTTAAACATATTTTTGGCCTTATTCATTCTTCCTTTATTATTACTTTTTAAGCAGCTTAGCTTTAACAATTTAAGAAAGAGTTCTTTTTATGTGTTCTGCACTGGTTATCATTTGCTCTTGGGGTTTTACTTACAAGTAAAAGAAGTACTCTGGGAGACATTAACAAATATTGCACTGATGTAAAACGGACTTCTGAGTCCTCTTAACGCAGAGCATCATTCTAGCAGAGGAGAATTTCGTGTACCTTTAGCACTGTCTGAGAACTTGCTTGAAAACACAAACCTGGTTCTTGTATATTGGCAGGTTTTTAGGCTTTTACCCTAGAATATTTCCAAAGATGGGACAACTATCATATTCTGCTGTGTAATAAGACTTATTCAGTAGATATAGCACTGACATCAGCAGTCTCTTAAAGTGTACTCTGTTACTGAAAAGTCAAGCATCTTATTCAAGGGCAATCCACCCGGTTCCATTTACTTTTATAGTTGTCAATTTAAGCAGAGGGAAACATTTCACTATTTGGACTTCAATTATGTGGATAGCAAAACATACAGCCAATTAAAATGTGCATGTTAACTAAGGGCAACAGGACCTATCAGAGTTCAGGGTCTTCCAGTTTCTACTCAGCATTTCAAACAAGTGTTTGTCTTATGCTTAACTCTGGATAGCAAAAATACATGGTTTGCAAGATTATCCCTTTATCTCTCTGTTACAGCCATAACAAGAGACAGCAAGAGTCAAATACCCAATCTATGACCAAAAAGGGAAGAAACTCAGAATCAGTATATCTTTTTGCTAACTTTCAGACGCTAATCAACAAGTTGTAATTAACAAGAGGTTTTCATCTAGCAATTGGAACAAAAAAAACTCCAAAACATTAGTAGCAAGCAGAGAGATGATAAACACAGAAACTTTTGAGAGTGGCTAAGCTTATTTACTGAGAGGCTATAAAAGACAGCTACAAAAATGACTGATTCTTTCATACTTGTTATTAAGTTGTATTTTGAAGTTGAGATAAGAAAGAGGCCTTATTTATTCATTTCATAAAACAACACAAGACTCTCCCAACTTACAAGAGACCATGCCTTCGTGCTCTACATCAACACTTGGTATGAAACTTATCAGCCAGCTAAATTACTCTTCCCCCAATAAAAGTTGAAAGAATATAGCTTCTTGTTTGTACTTACTGGAACACATCTGAACACAACTAAAACCCTAGAATATTCCTCAAAACACTAGAATAAAAAACAGGAGACTGTTTCCACTCTTTGCTACAGCATAAAACAGCATCCTTTTTGTCAAGTAATTTATTTCCACATTTGACTGTAAAAATACCATCAATTAAATGAAGAGCAGCCAGACACCTAATTTCAAACAGTCAGAAGAGTTTAGGGGAACATACAGAAAGCCAGAAAGGAATATTAAAATGAGAAAAGTACAAAAATATTTAGTCTATTAATTCTGCTGCTGTTAAAGGGATTTAATGAAAGGCAGTAATGAAATATGACCCCTTGGCCATGACTTCTATATATAAAAATCCACATCTCCAGGGATCATTTTAAAGGGTGTACAAAACAGCAAAGACTGAACCTCCTGCTCTCACAAAAGGAGAGAGGTACAGATGCTAATATAAAAAAAAAAATTGAGCAGCAGGAAGGCATCGCCGTGAGCAAGTGAAATCTGCTGAATCTCCAAAGCAAATTAAGAGCACGACTTCGGAGAAAAAAAAACCCAAAACAAGGCAGGAACTTCATTTTCCGAACAGTTTTAAGGCACGGCTCTACGGGGAGCAGGGGCAGACCCGGCAATGCACGGCGGGTCCCGAAAAGCGGGGCAAGTCGACTCCAAGGGGTCAGAGAGGGTTTAAAGGAGCCGGAGAAGGGAACACGGCTGAAGCCGCACCCACCAAAGGA